CCTGAGTTTTGAAAATCTAAACCATTGGGCCTGACTTGTGATTTTGTGAAAGATAATACCTGACCCGTGAATTTTTCCCCTCGTAAAAGGCCTGGTAGGCCCATCAGGATCAAAACTTCTCATTTTTTCTTCTATTATTCTACGGTTAATTCTTCTTTTGAAAAAAAGGAAAAAAATTAAGAGAAATATCGGAACATTGTAAAGTTTGCAAAAATCAGGTCATCACGAAGATAATATTGACTAAGATTTCTGTTGTTGCAAAAATCCGAAGGGTCGCATTTATCATCCATCATCTTCAACTACACTGGTAGACGTGATAAAGAATGGGATAGTGAAAGTCATTGCTCCACATTAATCACACAACATATGGTATAGCATTACATCTTAATCAATATAGATCACAATCTAAATTATATCTGAGTATTCAACACATGCTGCACCTTTCGGTCACAATTTATCAGAGATGTCATTGGGTAAAATGACCTTAGGAAGCTAACCTCAATTTATTAAGCACCGGCCATAGTCTAAAATCACCATGAAGAAGGTAACGTCTTGGCCAATAATGACAAAAAAAATATTAGATACGATGAAATTTTCTCTAGGAACGATGGATCTCTCTCTTAAAATCCCTCTAAATAAGGTAAGATTACTAGGGAAGATTGTGAAACTGCAAGAATATGATCCAGTCTGTTTCAAGAGCCCAAATTTGTGTAACCAAGCTTTAATTTTCAATTTGGGCTTCAAATATAATGCAAATACTTCGAAGACCCAAGCCCAAATAGAAACAAGCAAAGAATTGAGTTAACACCTTCACAAATAGAATAATGCCAAGCGTACAAGTAAGTTGCCAGATGGTTTACAAGGTAATTTCAAAGGGTTGTGTTAGATGTACACTCAATCTATTACTTAATAGATTACACTCCCCTCATATGGAGGAGGGTCCACGAATATTTTATTGTGTGTGGGCCCCTCTTTATATGAGGGGAGGTGTAATCAATTATGTAATGGATTGTGTACATTTAGATTAATCCAATTTCAAATTACTTCAAATTGCTAACGTGTAGTCAATAAAAAATAAAAATAAAAATAAAAATGAAGGCTTATGGAGGGAAACGAAATGGGAAACCACGTAGAGACCAGTTGAACCTCAAAATAGTAAAACCCGTAGCTCACTTTTCCATTCCCCCCCAAGCTTGAAATCAGGCAACTCCGACGACGACTATCGTCTAACCAGCCATCTTCTCCACCTCCAACTACTTTCCACGCGAGCCAAACTATCGGCAACCGCCCTAATTGTATCCATTTCGTTGAATCAAAAAATCCAAAAATTCAATCTGCCAAGATATCTTCTCCACCTCCAAAAATGTCTGGTGGATACCATTTTTTGTTCAGTCCAACTTTTGCGCATTCCACTTTTATGTACCTGTCTATCCATCTGATACATTTTATTATTGGCGTTTCAATTTTGGGACTAAGTCAATAGTACCTCCCCAAATTGAACCCAATAGTACCTCTCCAAAATTTCAATTGTTATGTGCAATCCTGCTTAAGAGAACATACAAAAATTGAAAGAGTGAAGAGGGGTTGGTTGCTAATTAACGCATTTTTTTCCCTTTCGACATTGGCCCTATAAAGGACTTGTAATAGTGAACCTGTACGCTAGTGTGATTGTCACAAATATCCAAATATGCATCACACATTCAAAATCCAAAAGAATTTATCAGTTACTATACCCTAAAAAATCTAAATTGTTATTTTGCACGATAATTTAAATTGATGTAATTAAAGTGAAGTACTCACGATAATAACGGAACGATCCGAATAATCAAATCTATTTCCAAAATTGTATCAATCATCAATTACACCTGAAAATGACT